GTTGCTGGTCAAATTCCCTGAGTTGAATTATCAGCTTAAAATTAAAGTGTGCATTGACAAGTAAGTACTCCTAATCTTTGCTTTTTGTTTTTTTTTTTCAAATGAGGAACAAAGAAATGAGAACTTTGCCAGATATCATTCGAACTTAGAGACTTAATCTCCATTTAGACATCTTCATTTTGTGAACAAAAATTTTCAGAAACCTCCTTGCAGTACGTTGTCATTTACATACCTGAACAAAACCACAAAGCTGCTGGTACAGATTTGAGTTATGACTGCTGCTGTGACCACCAGTCCCTCTTTTTCTTTAGTTTTTTACTTGTACATGTAATTTATGCATATTACACATAGAACTGAGAATAGAATAGTGTGATACGTAATGCCCAAGACACATTCTGAGAAATGCATTGAGTATACAGCACGTACACAGACTTGAATGGCATAGCCTACCACACCCTCGGCTACATGGATACCCTGCTGCTCCTAGGCTACACCCCTGTACAGCATGTTACAGTACTGAATGCTGTAGGCAATAGTAACACAAATCACTAGGTGTGGGTGAGAGGAATTAACCGTATGGGGCCACTGTCATTTTATTTTCTTTGTTAATCCAAGGAGAGGAAAAAGCTATATTTGTTTATTGGGACAGGGTTTTGTTCCATTGCCTGGGCTAGAATACAAGGGAGCTATCACAGCTCGCTGCAACCTCAAACTCCTGCACTCAAGCAGTCCTCCTGCATCAGCCTTCCGAATAGCTGGAACTACAAACACATGCCACCGCGCCCTGCTAATCTATTTATTTTTATTTCATAGAGACAGGGTTTTGTTATGTTGCTCAGGCTGGGCTTGAACTCGTGCCCTTAAGCTATCCTCCTTAAGCTGGCCTCTCGGAGTGCTAGGATTTTAGGCATGGGCCACAGTGCCAGGCCTAGGACCACCATCAATATATGCAGTTCCTCATTGACCCAAATGCTGCTATGCATCATGTGACTGTATATGAAAAGAATGGATTCTTTTTTTTTTTTTTTAGTTGTTTCATACTTTATCACATAATGGAATACTTTTAAAATTTAACAATACTGTTCAGAACTTAAAAGGCATATACCCTTTGAGGAGATTAAAAAGGACAAAATGTATACTTATTTTTAGGTAATATAATTATTAGGAAATTTCATTAGAATGACTGGAAAATAATTTTTATTTTTTGAGACAGTCTCATTATGTTACCCTGGGTAGAGTGCAGTGGTGGGTGTCACAGCACACAGCAACCTCAAACTCTTGGGCTTAAATGATTCTCTTGCCTCAGCCTTCCAAGTAGCTGGGACTACAGGCACCCACCACAATGCCTGGCTATTTTTTTGTTGCAATTTGGCCAGGGCTGGGTCCAAACCTGCCACCCTCGGTATACAGCCCAGTGCCCTACTCACTGAGCCACAGATGCTGCCTGAGAGAGGGTTATTTTTTTAAAGTGAGGAGAAAAACTTCCTGATAATAAGGACTGTCAGGTTCCAGAATGTGATATACAGAAAGATGTCTTCTGAATGATTTAAAAATTGATCAATTTTTATTTGTAAATTCACATGGAATGCACTATTTAATAAATAGTTGTACTAGCTTGGTGCCTGTAGCTCAGTTAGGGCGCCAGCCACATACCCTAGGGCTGTAGGGTTTGAACCCAGCCCAGGCCTGATTAAAAAAAACAATAACACTACAATAAAAAAAAAAAATAGCCAGTGTTATGGTGGGCACCTGTAGTTCCAGCTACTTGGGAGGCTGAGGCGAGAGTATCACTTAAGCACAAGAGTTTGAGGTTGCTGTGAGCTGTGATGCCATGGCACTCTACCGAGGGTGATATATTGAGACTTTTTCTCAAAAAAAAAGGCAATTAAAAAATATAAAAATAAATAAATAGTAGTGCCAGGTGCTGTAGTTCATGCATGTGATCCCAACTACTCAGGAGGCTGAGGCAGAAGAATGACTTTAGGCCAGGAGCTCAAGGCTGTGATGAGTTATGATGCTTCCACTGTACTCCATCCTAAGTAACACAGCAGGATCCTGTCTCTAAAAATGAATAAGTAAATATATAATAAAAATCACTGTGTTTAATGATAATAATAGCTATTACTGTAAAAGCATAGGTGAATGAATATATTGCAGTAGAGAAGGACTTTTTTCCCAGTACTCAAAATTACTTGCAAAAAAGGGATAAGACAGGCGACACCCATAGCTCAGTTGGTAGGGTGCTGGTCACATACACCGAGGCTGGCCAGTTTAAACCCAGCCCAGGCCAGCTAAACAACAGTAACAACTGCAACAAAAAAATAGCCAGGCGTTGTGGCGGGCACCTGTAGTCCCAGCTACTAGGGAGGCTGAGGCAAGAGAATTGCTTAAGCCCAAGAGTTTAAGGTTGCTGTGAGCTGTGATGCAAGGGCACTCTACTGAGGGTGCCATAGTAAGACTCTGTCTCCAAAAAAAAAAAAAAAGAAAAGAAAAAAGGGAAAAATCTGAGAAATATGACCATATAAAAAACTATATATTCAAAAACATAGAGTTAAGAGGCAAACACACCTGAAAGAGTATTTCCAGCTCTGTCAGTGGGGGGTTTCTTGGTTATAGGTATCAGCAAACCTTTACAGAAAATCAAGGTGACTTAAATAGTAAGGACATTTGAAACTCAGTACAGAAATGCCAGGTTTGGGCAAGGTCCTGATGATAATGTGATCCATGACTCACTGATGTCCTCAAGGACCCAGGGTTTCCTCTCTCTTCTCTGCTGTCATTAAGTATCACCTGCACTCTATGGGTCCCTTCCAGATTGCTACACAGTTGCTTGTAGCAGTTAAGGTTATGTGCTTCCTTGTACATGTTCAGCTGAAGCTGTGGAATATAAATGGAGCTGGGGTATAATTCCCTGCCTTTGATCTGATTGAGACAGTATAGGTCATGTCCTCACGACTGGACCACTGCTGTGGCAAGCTCTGTTGTGATGAACTTAATGATCAGAGTTCCCCTGCAGGTGCACATAGCAAGGATACTCAGGATCAAGGTTCTGTTAGGAAGGGGGAAAGTAAGTGTTGGGGAGACAGCCAACCATGCCTACTACTTAAACACGTGTATAGCATTCTATGTTGCATGTAGACAGTGTAATAGAACAGTTTAAAGAAATTCCCGGGAGCACAGGAGTTTTTCCATGAGAATGATTAACAGGTAGTCAAAGTAGGCTTTTTGAAGAAACTTGGGACCAGTTTTATTAACAATGGTCTGTGTTCTTAACAGAGACTCTGGGGATGTTGCAGCTCTCAGAGGGTAAGTTCAGCCTGGAGGCTTTCTTCTATCCTGTTTAATCTAAGTTTATTGTCTGGCTACTCAGTCACTTACACAGTTGATTTTCCACCTGTGATCCAGATCCCGGAAATTTAACATTCTGGGCACAAACACCAAAGTGATGAACATGGAGGAGTCCAACAACGGCAGTCTCTCGGCAGAGTTCAAGCACTTGGTATGTGGGAAGAGCCCAGATTCCCCTTCATGATGGGCACCTGGCAGGGGGTCAGGGTAGGGGAGAACCTCATCCTGACAGATGGCTTTGTCTCTTCTTCCAGACCCTGAGGGAGCAACGATGTGGGAATGGGGGTCGAGCCAACTGTGACGTAAGTTGGGCATGAAAGCCCACTGGGGGGAAAGAGAAAGAGCCTTTTTATTGCTCAGAATTGGAAACATCCACCTGCTATTTCAGCCTGTAGTCACTCAGAGAGTCAAAGTGACACGATCAGAAGGTACATGTGCCTTAGAGATCTCTGGCTTGGAGCATTGCCTTGATTATCTGGGTGTCAGCTTCTCCCTGAGAAGCAGAAAGTCCCTTGCTGAGCAGACAGCCACACCCTGTTGGTAGGAAAGGCGCTTTCCACCTTCTAGGGATTTTCCAAATTCCCCTTCCAACTTCTGCCAGTTGACAATCTTTGGCTTTAGTTTTGGTGACCTGTTTTTTTTCCTGAGGTGGGATAGAAAGTAGAAAAGCAACAAATCTAAGTTAACCATTAAAACAAACAAAAGCCCATCTTGTTTCTTATGCCCCTATTTACTTTCTGCCTTCTATTGATTCAAATTATTTGATTCTTAGTATCAAGAATAAACTTTAATCAATATATGTGTCATTTTAAAAGATTATGACATCTTGTTCTTCTTCTGATGTTTGACCCCTGAGTTATTCGTCTATAAAATGCAGCAGTCCTTTTATTTATCTATTTATTTATATTTTGGAGACAGTCTCACTGTCACCCTCGATAGGGTGCTGTGATGTCATAGCTCACAGCAACAGGTGCCTGCCACAATGCCCAGCTATATTTAGAGATGAGGTCCTGCTCTGACTCAGACTGGTCTTGAACCTGTGAGCTCAGACAATCTACTCACCTTGGCCTCCCAGAGTGCTAGGATTTTAGGCGTGAGCGCAGCAGTCCTTTTCAAAAGTTGAATTTATAATACTTGACAGTAGAGAGTGAAGCAGTCTATATGCAAAATGGACATGATATATTTGTTTAGAAAAAGCAAGATACAAAATTTGGAGTAATATATTTGTTTAAAAAACACAGGACAGTGTTTTATGTATATACATATATGTATTAACAAATTCTGGAGGAATGTACACCAAACGGTGCTTACATATTACTGCTGTTAGTATCTGAGGCACTCTATACTTTCTCTATAGTATTTGCCTTTTAAACTGAATATGTTACTTTTATAATCAGAAAAAGTATTTAAAAAATGAAATAGAATTCCATTTCTGATAATTCATTGGTGCCTATTATTCAAAATAAGTTTTCTATACTGCTGATGTGAATAGAAATTATTAAAGTCACCTTGTTTCTTCTTTTTTGTTTTTTCTTTGAGAGTCCCAGAGTCCCACTTTGTCCCCCTGGGTAGAATACAGTGGTATCATCATAGCTCATTCCAATCTCAAACTCTTGGGCTCAAGTGAACCTCTTGCCTCAGCATTCCAAGTAGCTGGAACTACAGGTGCCCACCCACAACACCCAGCTAGTTTTTCTATTTTTAGTAGAGATGGGGTCTTGCTCTTGCTCAGGCTAGTCTTGAACTCCTGAGCTCAAGCAATCAGCCTGCCTCAACCTCCCAGAGTACTAGGATTAGAGGCATGAGCCACCACACCTGGCCTGTTAAGGTCACTTTGGACAACAATTTGACATTATAAACATGAACATGCCCTATAAACCAGCAGTGCCGTTCTCAGGATTTTTTTTTTTTTTGAGACCGAGTCTCAAGCTGTTGCCCTCAGTAGAGTGCTGTGGCATCACAGCTTACAGCAACCTCAAACTCTTGGGCTTAAGCAATTCTCTTGCCTCAGCCTCCCAAGTAGCTGGGACTATAGGCGCCT